TCAATGCTGAAAGAAGGCGAGTGCCATCGATTTAGCTGTTGATGGCGTAACCGCTCTTTATTTAAAAAAATTTATCAAAGCATCAGTCCAACGGAGGCAAGGTGGGTATTCTAGCCCACACCCGGCTCAAATGATTTGATCCCAAGTGTCATCACAAGAAGAAGCTCGTGCCACTGAAAAGGGAGGAGACTTTCCTCGTGTTAGACGAACTGGGATTTGGATCGGTAGAATGAAAAAGGAATTGTTTAAGCCTTAAAGACGGCACTGTCCCACGCCCACTACGTGCTAACTAGAAGAGGGGAGTAAGGGTTCAATTCTTTTTTATTTTTTAGGTAATACCGGGCGAAAGCCGATCCAGGAATGAAGTAACTGGTTCGATAGGACCAGGGGGCGGTCATTTTTGAAATTAGCTCGTTTTGATGAAATCAGGGGCATAGTGGAAAAAAAACCTATGAATAAAGAGGGTGTCTGCGGGGATCTTTGCTGGCAATCTACTTTGTGGCATAGAGATCATGTTCGGTAGGCAGAAGTTCTTTCGACAGCTAGGAATTGACAGGCTTGTTTCGATTCCGCGCACGAGTCAAAAAGATCCTGACCTGCAATTTCTGAGCTTGCCCAGTTTCGGAAATGAATCCTAACCTCAAAGGTGCTTTTAAGCCACTGTTCTAAGTTTTCACGACTCTGCTCTTCTCGCTTGCCCCGGTATAGTCGGGGAGGACCCGCCCTTCTAAGGATTGGTCAGCCAGTCATGAATTACCTGAACCACTTCCTTCAAAGGAACTCTCTTTTCCTAAGAGACGCTTTCCCTATCTTTTGTCTGAAGACGGAATTGTTTGAGCTTTCAGCTCTAAGCGAGAAAAGGATTTTCCACTAAAGGCTAGCGCGCAACGTAAGCTTTTAGCCCTATGATCGAATAGACAAGACCGGGGGTGGAGTGAGCCTAGAGTAGACGAAGACTCCCTATTCAACTCTCACCTTAAAAGAAGGAATAGGTTTTTAACCTTTTAATAAAGAGTCCATACCCCATGTTTTCGAGCAAGGGATGAAATGGAGTGGAGAGTGAAAATCCGTTGACTTGAAAGAAGCAAAGTGGTTCTTAGCTTAGTCTTAGTCAGTCTGGTACTGGTCCCAATAAGACAGTTCTTCAAACTCAAGGCGATTCTCGTCACGAGTCAAAGTTGTCTTGCTGTCGATATAACGAGCGAAGCGAGCAAAGAAAAGAAGATAGTTAGACTGTCGGAGGTAGGGGCGGAACTTGATGTTGCTTTCTTACTCAGACTAAGGCTAAGAAAGGCGGGATCAGATTCCATTCGAAGTCATTGATATTGATCCTTTTTCCTTTTCACTTGCTTTTTTCTTCTTAAAAAAGACAGACGAGACTGAACTCCCTTCTCCCTCCATCACTGAAAAGCAGAGCTTTCATCTTCCTCTCCTAAACGTCGAGTGTCTTTGTCTTCAAACGTTGATCGTCTTAACTACTTTTTTACTGAAAAAAGTAAGGAAAATGGAGATTTTAAGTTAGCAGCTCACCATCTTAAAAAGTCTAAGACCGGAGTGTCCAGAATTCAGTAGTGGCTTCTACTGGGATTGGCTTAGTCGGAGTCGGCTCGAGCTCTGAGATCTATCTTTGAGATCCCATCAAACATCAAAGCTAACTCTTCTCACACTTGTCAAAGCATTTAAAACAAAGGCAGTGAACTTCTCAAGTTTGGACTCTTTTGGCGTATTGGTAATGGTGAAGATGTCAAGTTCTGGACTGATTGTTGGCTGACAGATGAACCTCTCTCATGCGAGGCCTTAGTTAATCTCTCCCCACAAGAAAAGCAGAGGCCACTAGAAAGCACAAGAAGAATAAGACTGTACCCGCCAACATTATATAAGATCTAAACAAGTGCAATGACTGGTACCAAGTTTATGAAAACGAGGTACTAAGGGACAGGCTAATAAGATCTTATAATAACATGAGGAGTATCTTCGATGATCTAGCAGGGGTAATAGCAAGACTATGGGGATGCATAAGGAGGAGGGTATGTTGGAATATTAGGCAGGGAAAAAAAGCGGAGGTAAGGATGAAGTACAATAGAGCAAAGGCAATATTGAATCAAAGAATAAAAAATGGAAGAGAAGTTTAGGAGGGAAAGAGTTTATTTGCATATCATTTACAACTGGAATTACTCAGTACATCTCAGCTGAATTTATAGAGTTGTTGGGAAATGAAAATGACATAACCTCTTTCCCCTTTTCGATTTGAGACTATGTGGCTTTCCCACCCTTCCTTCAAAAACTTTTTTAAAGAAGCCTGGGACGGCTCTACTCCTTACAGTGCTACACTACAAACTTTCATATAAAAAATAAAAAAATGGAACAGATAAGTGTTTGGTGATCTTTTTAACAGGTTTTGAAATATCTGGTTCGACAGGACCAGGAGATAAATTCGTCATCCTACCTAAGCGAAGTAGAGCAGCACTTGAAGCGAAAAGCGGTCTTTAGCGAGGAAAGCCTAAGCCTTTTCCTTATTGGAGCCTCTTCCTGCCTTACTTATCTATTGATTTACCCTCAAAAGGGCTCGATTGAGACAGAGAGGAAAGATGCGAATCGGCCAAAAGGCTTATTCCGCCAAGCAAGGAGCGAAAGGCTTGATCTGATCGCACTGTTATATAAAATAAAAGACTTCATTCTACTCTAATTCACCGCTAGCGAATTGAATTTATAGAAAGGTTATAGTCGTCTCTCTATCCGCAATGGAGAAAAAAACTTTGATAGAGGAAGGATGGGAAGCAAAAAGACTACATTGTATATAAGAAAATCTTAGTTTTCTTTTTCACTTTTATTCGTAGATAGATGTGTGTTTGAGTTATCCATATTAAATTATATTCTCAAAGGGATGATATGATAAAAGATTATGTAGATAGCAATCCAAATCCAAAGAAGGAAGTGAAGAGCAGATACGAACATATCTAAATAAAAGACAACAGACTTTAACAGAAAGACGAGAGAGAAGGGAAAAATAAAAGCGAAAAACTTTCCAGAGGGAGGAAAAACCTTACAGAGGAGACATGGTAGGCGATTGGGAAGCCGGTGTTCTTACTCTAATTTCTAGTTCTAGACACTGAGAATGGAAGACCAGCGACCAGTAAAGCCGCTGGAGAAGTGTTTGAGGCAGAAGGTATCCATTGATGCACCTTTAGTTTAGCATCCACTTTTGTGCTCTGACGGCTCAGCACGAAGATGCTTACGAGACGCTACTCGGAAAACATTAGCGACAGGCGGCCAGAGTTGGGAAGGATTGGGCAGCAAGCACACAGTCGATGAAGTAGATCCGGCCTAGGGTGACCCTGCACTTTCAAGATGGATCGAAGGAGGAAGCCGCCGAGACGTCAAGTTAAGATTCCAGCGGCGAGTAAGACCATCAGAAACCGATGATGAGGATTCAAGACAAGACACAAACAATACAAGAGATAGATGAAGTCATCTGTTTGCAACACGACTTGGGAAACGTTTTTTGATGAGCAGAAGTCGCACTCAATTCGATTCTTATTTAACTACTAGGTTCATAGTTATGTATGAATCTCCTCAGATTCGTGCAAACTCCGCTCCGTACATTCCGCTCTCGCTCTCTCTGGGGATTCTTCTTCCGGCCCTTGCCACCTCTACTTCTCTAAGAGCAATCACAAGCGGAATGTCGAGTGTGAAATTGTATTGAGTTGGTCTTTCTTTTTATGGAAAGGGTATACTCCTCATTGTGGTCCCCGAAACTCTCATTTTGATAGGCCAAGGGGCGTAGCGATCTCCGAAAGTGAATAAAGTAGAAGTGCAGTAGATGCAGAGAAAAGTCTGCTTAATCTTCTGTCTCTTTCCTGTGCTATCAATAATGAGGAAGAGCCTTTGTTGCAGTGCTTGTTTTCAAGGAGTACTTGGTTTATCGCTTCGCTCGGCTTCGCTTGCTACTAGCTTCCGCCCTCTCTCTTTTTTAGAAAGGTCCTTAACGGCTTCTAGAAAGAAGGCTTATATAACTACTATGAAAAGCATCGAAAGAGACTTCCGTATCTACATTATTATCAATGGCACAGCACATCTGCTATCTATGAAGATAAGCTCCGCCGCATTCTCATTCTAAAGTAAGGCCAAGGACTCTTTATTCCCCCATTGAATCGAGACTGGCAATGAGATCAAAAGAAAGAAAAATGAAATCGTTTGATCGAAAGTCTATGTTAATAGAGCTCTCAGATGCGGGGAATCGATGCAGAGTTGGCACTACTTCTGCTCTTGCTAGCTAGGGGATTCATCTCTATCAATTCCTTTTGAATAAGGGGGAATACGAGAAGGGATTACTTGCTAACGTTTTTCCTACGTCTTTTTGTCCTATTCTGGGCATCCATATGTGTCAAACTTGGTTATCCAAATTGGAAATATTTTTATACAACAGGAGTAGGACTTTCCGGGAGTGACTATCTCGTAGGAAAAAGCAAGACCCTCATAAGGAGAAGTAAGAATGGCACCTGAAAAGCAATGATGGAAGATGGATCTATGATGATCAACAGCTAAAAAGGATGGTTATACAATTACGAAAGTGCTAGTGAATAGACTCAAGCCGCTGCTTCCCTTGGCTCTGTCTCGTTTTGCTCCGGGCAGACAGATAACTTAAACTAATCATGCAGTACAGGAGATTATAGACTGCCCATGAAAAGGAAAAAAAGAAGAAGAGGAATGCTAGCCAAAGAAATCGAGTTGGAAAAAGCTTACGACAGGCTGCAGTAGACCTTTATCCATGACACTCCCCAGGCAATCCAACTCCCAGGTAACCGTCTGCCTTTGATAATGGAATGTATGAGATCTTCTTCAATGGGGATTCTTTTTTTTTTGTGTGAAAAGACAGTTTTTTTTTCCAACGAAAGGAATGAGAATGAAGAACGAGAGGAACGAAGACTGAAAGGTACGAGTTGCATACGTTACACGAGATAGATAGAGGAGCGTAGTACTTGTAGCGAGTTCAAGTTAATATCGTATATAAAGAAAAGATACCTTTTGCCTTTCTCTTTCTTCATTTAGAAAGTTGATCGAGAAAGCCTCTGCCCAATAGAACCTAGCCTGGGAGAGGGGTCATCCTCGCCAGTGTGGACCGAAAAGGTCTCGCGAAGCCGGTCACCATATGGTCTAAGTCCTTCTCTAACTTGAAGAGCAGAAAGCAATACTTCTTTCAGTAGGGGAGATAAAGTTATTTTATTGTCTTGTTTTTACTCCGAAAATCGAATTTCTTTTTGAAGTCCTATATTCTATATATTCTTTTTCTTTCAAAGTTCTTCGTTCTTATAGATGTGATACCAATCTAACGATTGCCCCTAAAAAAGTTTTCTTTTCTTCCGTTTTTTCTCTTGCTACCCTTTTTTGATTTGATCGAAAATCCTGCTTTGCATTTCAATTCCCATTCTTTTCGTTGGTCAACAGCCAACCCAAATTCTTTCTATTTCATAACTAGTCCTACAGGAAGGAATCTCTTTCTTTCCGGGAAATATATTTGGAAGATATTTGGAAATGGCACCCATAATGGATAGGGTAACTGATTTCTTGTTCCATCATTTTTGGTATACTTATACCATGATTTTGTTAACCGGATATTTACTTTTTTATGGGATGAGACTGTATAGAGTTATACTCGAGGGGATTATCAAGAATCCCGGTCGAGTCAGAAGTTTCGAATACAGTTGGTGGGGGGTGCGAATTTACTTTTTTTAAAAAAGGGAGGCCAGCGGAAAAGATAAGGAGGAGTAGTTGATAACGTCTGTATTTAGGAGCGATCTGTTCATCCAACTCGAAAGATCGTAAGAGAAGAAAAAGTGACTTTTCTTCATACGCCCAAAAGTCCCATGCTTTCCGTTGGTCAACAACCAACCAAAGCTCTATCTAATTCTTCACTACTCGTACAGGAAGGACTCTCTTTCTTTCCGGGAATTTGATTCAAAAAGAAATCTTACATGCCTCAACTGGATAAATTCACTTATTTTACACAATTCTTCTGGTCATGCCTTTTCCTCTTTACTTTCTATATTGCCATATGCAATGATGGAGATGGAGTACTTGGGATCAGCAGAATTCTAAAACTACGGAACCAACTGCTTTCACACCGGGAGAACAAGATCCGGAGCAAGGACCCAAACAGTTTGGAAGATATCTTGAGAAAAGGTTTTAGCACCGGTGTATCCTATATGTACTCCAGTTTATTCGAAGTATCCCAATGGTGTAAGTCCGTCGACTTATTGGGAAAAAGGAGGAAAATAACTTTGATCTCGTCTTTCGGAGAAATAAGTGGCTCACGAGGAATGGAAAGAAACATATTCTATTTTATTTCAAAGTCCTCATATAGCACTTCTTCTAATCCTGGATGGGGGATCACTTGTAGGAATGACATAATGCTAATCCATGTTCCACACGGACAAGGAAGCATTGTTTTTTAATTTCATTCTAACTTGGTTGTTCGGTGGCCTCATAGAATCAGGTATGCACTTGATCCTATGAAGAAGTTCTTCACAGGGGTGGATTTGGACGAGTTCGAAAGAACTGTTGGTCCAATTCTACCTTCTGTTGAAGAGCTTGGAGTGCCACCTATGACTGGAAAACTAGGTTGCTCGGTTGAAGGAGGAGGCAAAAGGCGGATTTTCCCCATTGGAAACTAGATCAATCAGAGGTTCTTATTGGCTAGCTTCATTGCAACAAATGAAAAGGATACCAATGTTAATCAAGAAGCTCCTCTTGATCGATTAGTTGGCAATAAACACTGCTTCTCTTTTGACTTAAAGTCGGCCACTGATAGGTGGCCTTTAGTCTTTCTGTTTGAAGTGATGCAGTATTTATTCGATAGGTCGTTTGCTTGTGCTGTTGTTAATTCAACATTAGCATGCAACATATTTGAGGTACACTTTGTTAGGAATCCGAATTCAAGGGTCTCGTTTGTTGCCGGACAACCTCTCGGTTATCATGCCTTATGGCCTTTATTTGCTTCACATCATATTTTGGTGTGGTATTGTGCAGAAAAGGTGTATCCGGGATTGTACTTTGACAAGTATGCTGTACTCGGTGATAACATTGTCATTGCTGATCAGGCTGTAGCCAAAGTTTATGAGGAATCTCTCCAAAATTTTGGTCTTTCTATTTCATATCAGAAATCCCTCATTTCGGAGAGTGGTTCAGCTGAGTTTGCAAAACGGTTTAGGGTAGAGTGTCAAATTGGAGTGTGGACTTAAGTCCTATCTCGATTCGATCTCTACTCAATGCCCATCACCCTTGGGGTGCTATGGCAATACACTTGAAATATCGGGTTAAGAGGTTATCAACTCTTGCTCGTATATCAGGTTGTAGTTTTAAGCGTCTCGACTGGACCATCATAGAAAGGCCCACATTGAGCGCATTCTTCATATGTGGACCAAAACTTCTTTACCACTGGATTTGTGGTTAGGAAGAGGTTTTCCTCTCAACCCTTATCTCAAAGGTGTGCTTTTCGCTTCCAGTTACCAGAAAAGGGACCTTCGCCCAAGCCGAGCCACTAGGAGAGTAAGCCCTTCCCACGTGTCAAGGTGAATAAATGAATAATGCAGCCTCAACCAGAGAGATCAACCTTCGATTTTTATTTTTTTTAGGCCGCCGGCGGCGCAGAACGCACTAATCCGCGACCAGCTTCCGAAACCGAACTGAATGGAATTGTTACTTTCCAAAAATGCTTGCTGAAAATCCAAGAAAGAAGGTCCATTTTCCCACGTAGTTCGTCGGTCAAACCAACGATTCTCTTCTCAAAGGTTTAGAGAGATCTTTTTCTAGTTAGACTTCTATCAATACAATGAAAGAACCATCCCTTCCTATTTGTTTGTCCTGTCAGATAGAAAGAAAATGAGACCCCAAAGAGCCCTTACTTTAGGGAGTGGGGGTGAAGGGGGGGGTTTACATACAACTGAGGCAAAGTGGTTTATGATTGAATCTCAGAGGCATTCTTATCATTTGGTAGATCCAAGTCCATGGCCTATTTCGGGTTCACTCGGAGCTTTGGCAACCACCGTAGGAGGTGTGATGTACATGCATCCATTTCAAGGGGGTGCAACACTTCTCAGTTTGGGCCTCATATTTATCCTATATACCATGTTCGTATGGTGGCGCGATGTTCTACGTGAATCCACGTTGGAAGGACATCATACCAAAGTCGTACAATTAGGACCTCGATATGGTTCTATTCCGTTCATCGTATCGGAGGTTATGTTCCTTTTTGCTTTTTTTCGGGCTTCTTCTCATTCTTCTTTGGCACCTACGGTAGAGATCGGAGGTATTTGGCCCCCAAAAGGGATTTGGGTTTTAGATCCTCGGGAAATCCCTTTTCTTAATACCCCTATTCTCCTTTCATCCGGAGCTGCCGTAACTTGGGCTCATCATGCTATACTCGCGGGGAAGGAAAAACGAGCAGTTTACGCTTTAGTAGCTACCGTTTCACTGGCTCTAGTATTCACTGGCTTTCAAGGAATGGAATATTATCAAGCACCCTCCACTATTTCGGATAGTATTTATGGTTCTACCTTTTCCTTAGCAACTGGCTTTCATGGTTTTCATGTGATTATAGGTACTCTTTTCTCGATCATATGTGGTATTCGCCAATATCTTGGTCATCTGACCAAGGAGCATCACGTTGGCTTTGAAGCCGCTGCATGGTACTGGCATTTTGTAGACGTGGTTCGGTTATTCCTATTTGTATCTATCTATTGGTGGGGAGGTATATGAAGGAACGAATAAATGGATTGAGGAATGAGAGCTCGAAGACAAAGAGAACCGGGCTTTTCCAAAGAATGACTGCAGCTTTACCACTCCCTTTGATTCTCATATACAAAAAGGTCTTTTCCACTTTCCTATCAAATCTCTCTCTATTCTGGCACATAAATAAAGGGATCGAAGAGATTATGGCAGATCATGTTCACCAAGAAATGACCCGCAATTTGATCTTGGTCTATTTGAGATTGTTCCTTTTAATCGTAATCAAAGATGTTTTCTTGTCTCTCGTTTTCTTTTCCGAACAAATCGAAGAACCTAATGGATCGAACTCAAACATCAAACCGTCTGTTATATCTATTAAAGAAAAGAATTAACCCATGTCAACAGTAAGAAATAGGTCAGAATCATACCCGCTATTCCTGGGATTCTGTAATCAAAAACCCGGCAATCTCCCATCTCCGAATGGCAAAAAGTTTTCAAGGCACTCGTTAGGCCTTAAATCTTCTATATACTAGCAAATCCGATTCTCTGTCAAAGAAATGGATGTTTTCCCCTTGGCTTTCAGTCCTTTTCCCTGTGTACTTCAATTAGGGCAAACTTACTTTACGTGATGTCACAATTCGATTAGAGCTAGCTCGACCAGCCCATCCTAACATTTCTTTTCTTCGCTGATTCATTCATTCGCTTTTTTGGGTTTTTTTAGAAAGCCAAAAGTATAAACCAGCTGACACCTCCTCTTGTAAAAAATGTCTCGCAGACTCCTAAACTCTACCAAAAAACTTCTCCACCACCATTTCAGCCCCTTTTATCAGCCTCAAACGCCCGCCGCCCCCAGTGATTTAGGTATAATTAGGCGGTTTGGGATCAACAGGATTGACTGATTTCGCGACCCCGCAAATCGACTCCCTATAAAGAATTTGTACATCGACCGGTCCAACAACTTCTGAATCTACTACTGAATCCCAATCACGAGGCAAGAGCCGCTTCTCTCTTTTCTATTTCAGTGCCCCATAACATAATATATGGGGGTATAAAAGGATAGGTAAATAGTATGGCTAATACTAAAGGTCGGTGATGTAATGAATAATCCGAGTCAAGCAATCTTAGAATAACTAACCCAATATTTCATACACCAGTGCAGTCTCAATATGGGAGGCAGAAAAGTAAAAAAAGAGACTCCAAATTTGGCAAGATCCAAATTGGTTGTCCACAAGTAAAAGTATAAATAATAATTGTTCGATTTATTGCGTATCTGAATGAATATAAAAAGGGAACCTTTCCTTTTAACTAGCGAAGGCATCTAAAATAATGAAAGGCAGTCTTTTACTTGGCTGTCGTGGTCGTGGCTAAATTTGCTTTCATGGGAATGGATTAAATAAAGACTTAGCACAGCTCCTCTTTCTCTCTTGATCCATGGAGGTTACAAGGGCTTACTTCTGATTCGGATGTCTCAAAGGGATTGTTAGGGCTGGACGAGCCTATACTATTTTATTTTAGGATATAGAGAAATTCAAAGGTTGCCAATGAGAGCTGCAAAGGAAAGAGTATAAAAAACTATTTAAAGTCTTAGTCCAAGGTGGAAGGTAAAAGTAGGAAAAAATAGAGCCCAGTACCTTTGTAAAGGCGTTAATGCTATATAAGAGCGACTTCAATGAGATCCCATCTTGAGTTGTTTACACATCTCCCGGGCCAGTGGAGAGAAAGAGAGTGATGAAGAGATCAGCTTCACTGTAAAATGCAGGTAGAAAAAGTAAGTAAAAAGACTGAATCTTCACTTCCTTTCATAGGAAGGTAGGTCCCTACGTCTTTTTTATTAGATGTAAAAGTTTAGTGCTTACTCGCCCCTTGCTTTATTTCTTTTTTAAAAAACTCTCTACTCTCTATTTCAGGGTTCAGGGAGGGAGAGTTTTTTTGAGTGAGATCCGTTTATTTCGAAGCCATTGCTCCCCTCATTACTTTAACACTCCAGTCTCTCTAGCTCCTTGGCTCTAGTACTCTAGTTATCGCTCCTGCGTATGTAGCTCGTTTGAATATGGTCTCTCTTAGGTTAGGGGAAATTTCTTTGATATAATCGATTTCTTAGAGATGAAAAGCAATTCTTCATACCTGGTCAGATATAGGTCAGGTCTATTTTCCCGCTTTCCTTGGACAGAAGGACTGGCATGCATACATATGCCTTTTTTCTTCTTAAAGATTGAAGTATAGATACTATCAGAAGAACGGATTATTGAAAGCGGCTGATATAGATATTGAATTGTTAGATTAACCCGTGTTAGTTCAACCTGATCTCCATCCCACTTCTACATTCATAGCTTGAAAAAACGAATCAGATCTTTATATACGAAATTATCAATCAATGCTATCAACGGTCGCCTCTTTCAGTTGATCTTCCACAAAGAGCTCCTTCTTTAACAGCTTTTTCTACCCGATCGCAGAAGCTTCTATATCCACTAAGAGCGAAATCCGTTTGAGTAGAGCAGGGCCTTAATAAGGGCGACTGATAGGTAGGTAGAAGAGAGAAGGGGCGCAGCGAGGCAGAGGATAGGGAAGTAGGGGGAAGGGAAGGCAAAGACTAGCGTAGCGTCTTTGGGAAAGATCGGACCAATGATCACACTTTCTTCTAACTGGAAGACTTTTGAAGTCCAAGATGAGAAAGTCTTCCCCCTAAACCAAGACAGCGCCCTACTAAAGAGGAGGAGTCCGTTATGGATTCCCCCCCGTACCCCAGAAAAAGTCTTTCGTCGAGTGGCGCGATCATGACAAATGTCTTTGCTAGCTTTATTGATGGCTCTAAAAAAGCTGACGATGGAAAAACTTGGTTCATAGGACACCGTATGATAAAGCCATCGCTAGCAAAGCAAGTCGGTATATGGCTAAAAGACCGCCCGTCACAAGATCGATTCCAATCCGATAAAGCCAGACTGCTCCTTGTAAGGAACCCTTGGAGCCAAGAATAGAAGACATTGACTATTGGAGTGAATTCCAACTGCCCGAAGAATGTAAACTATCGCTTACGGATTAATTCGTACCCCGGCGAACAAGCAGATCGTAAGCTAAAGATCCAAAAGTTTGCAAGAACCGACCTAGAATTCTCGATGCGATGGTCTTTTCTGCCTTGAAATGGCCCCTTCAACCATAAAGAAGATCGAGTCTCTTGGATGAAAACTCTACCAAAGCAGGAGCACAAGTCCGCACCTTACCTCTAGTTGAATGGCTTGGTCTTCAGTCTACCACCTAGCTATGGCCCAATCTAAACGAGCCTGCACGTGATAGAAGGGAAGGTAGAGCCGAAATTGTACGACGACACTGCCGAGCCAGAGAATTCTAGCCCTTTCATCGTGCTGACCTATTGACCCGGATCCAGCTGAAAAGAGCACAGCGCTTGGGGAGAAGAGACGAAGCGAGCCGCTAAAGTATGGCCCATCTCTTTTTCAGCCCTCAGGGAAAGGTTTGATATCGAGTCTTACACCAACCCATCGTGTGTGGAGAAAACTCTAGCTTCCGTAGCAGGAGCGCTTCGTAGGTTAATCGCCAATCGGATAATAAAAAGGGTATCTTCTGAGATCGCTTCGACTGATCACACTAGAAAGTAAGTGTGCGCTTTAGAAGGTTTTTCCTTTCACGAAAGGGCGGTAGATGATACATTTTGATTGACCCATAACCGCCGATCGGCGAAAATGAATTCCTTCTATGATCTTAGGAGCACTCCCAGGCCCGACACAAATAGTTTTACCCCACGACAGCGGAAGCAGATTCAGAGGTTGAATCCGTCTTGTCATATCTCTTCCTCCTCTACTACTGGTATTTGCCCCCCTTATGCAACCAACATAGGGGGCTGCAACTCGGGTGCATCGAAGAATCTGACTGGTGATTCTTCACTTCTTTCAACTCTTTGTTCTCCATCTAAGTTCCTTATTGTTTCAACTGCAAACTCCGAACAATTCCCTCTAGCTAGTCTTGGTACTCTCTCTCGTTATCATCGAATATGTTCTGCTCTTTTTAATCTTCCCGCTCTCTCAGTGAATCTTCTTTCCGGTTTGAAAAAAAAAATGTTTCTATTCACTTCTCTCCTACCTCCTGTCTTGTACAGGATCATGCGAGAGGGGCCCTATGGAGTAAGGGGATTGGGAAGTCTCCGATTCAGTAGGCGTCTCTGGGGGAGCAGCAAGATGAGCCATGTCTGACTGTCGACGAGAGTTTGCATTCTGCCGCTTGTGAGAGTCTGCAATCATGTGACCCGCCTTCTTGCAATAGTGGCATATGATTGCAGACATGTCTCGTTGGCCTGATGCACCAGCAGAGCTTCCAGATTGAAGATTCTGACCATAGGGTCGATATCCCGAAGCATGTTCAGCTGCAAGAACCTGATTTGAAGCACCTGAGGAATAGTTGATCGACCCCCAGCACCCAACCTAGTAAAGGGGCTCAAGTCGAGTCTCCTCGAATCTCACATCAGCAACTGCTCTATCAATGTCTGGTGGAGGAACTCGATGTTGTTGAATTGAGGATCTAACATTCTCGAACTCAGGCCTCAAACTCATCAAAAACTTAGAGAGCCCCTTTCTACTCTATAAGGCTATTCTATCTTATATGAAATTAAGAGCCTTTAGAATCGGTGCCCCTATCTTTGAAAGGGGTCCCTCATGTTCAGCCGGTCCCATAGAAGCCTAAGCCTTCGGTAATAAATAGTATAGCACACTTCTTTATTTTACCCATAAGCTAAGGCATATTCTTCATGTTGCAACTGATAGAAAGGTGGAGAATCATCCTGAGAATCAAGATGACTTTTGTAATCCCAAGATCTTTCTGGATACTATCTCTGTATCCGTCCATTAGGTGGAGTCCACTTGAGCGTACTACTTTGCGACGATATGCCGGACTTGTTCAATTGGTGAACTTGAGAATGTCGAGTTCTTGTTGTTCATATTGGCTGAAATCCATTTTCAACCCTCGCGAATACGGGAGCTGCTACTGAGTGAACCAGCGATCATGCGAAGGGAGATTGGAGATAAATCCGTTCTACCTTCATCGCGTATAAATGGCTTAGCGAACTCAAGAGTACCTTTGTCAGAGACTAGCTACTTTTCGACCGATATAGTTAGGTCGCAGTCCTATCAGAGGGCCGTATACACGTTTGCAACCTTTTCGTCGGCGATAATAATGTCGTCACCGAGAATGGCTTTTTGAAAACCTTTTCCCTTTATATACTTTCTCAGCCGCAATACACACTAACATATGGTGAGTTAGTGTAAATGCAGGCCAAAAACTGTAAAACCATTTAGCCGGGTTGGGGGTTGGCCTTTCTGAAAACGGACAACTCTAGCCAAC